AAAGGAGGAGAAATGTTCTTAATCTACATAAGTTCCTCTATAATTCTGATCCCTTCTTTCCAATTTCCCTCTGTCTTAAGAAAATCTTTTCTCCTAAATTCTGGAATAGAGCAAAATGAAGCTCAAAGCAAAGCAAAACAAAACACAACAAACAAAAGGGTTTGAGAGAGAAAGAGATAAAGGCAAAGAAGTGTTAATCTGGCAATGTCAACTGCCAGGTGCCAAATCAGGCAATGCTCTTATCTCTACACAAAAGACTGAATTAGAGATATACAGCACAGTACTAATCAGTAGCCTTTATTCTCTAGCACTGTCACGGTAAAGAAAGTCTAGAAAGTGAACACACTGTACTAGAGATTTGGCAAGTCATCCCATGCTTTGTCAAATTGTATAAACAACATAGTCAGAGACACAGAAAAGGATTCGCCATCCCAGTTCACTTGCATCAATAAACGTTGGTTCAAGAAAGATAGAAGACTGAAATACAGTTTTTGACATAAATTAGAAAGATGCCTTTCTTATTCTCGGCTTGGACCAATGGCTTAAGAGAAGCTCACCTTTAGGTTAAGGTTATTCCTTTAATTTTGCAAACATCAGAGTCACTTTGGTAGTTTGTAAAACGTAGCTGCTGAACAAGGTATGAAAAATCCATGCACAAGTGATACTAACATACAAAGAATAGCATACCCTGTTTCCTTTCTAGATTCTCTACTAAAAATCAAAACAATATCTGGCATATGAAATGAACACTTCTTTTGGCTTTTCTTTTCTTTCATTGATTAGCATTTCTTCAAGGCTCATAATGAGAGAAACTGTCCACTGTCTAATTAAAGTTCCACACTTATAAACACTATATTTAACTTCCTTTCCCATTTAAGCATCATGATAATGCTAGTCTTTTTAACGATCCTGCAAAAGATAGAATCGCAACAATAACACACAAACAACCTTGCACTTCAGCACTTACCACGTAAAACTGTGAGTCTAGTGGATACACTTATTTCTCCCACAACATTTGAGGCCACACATTCATAAATGGCCTCATCTCGCGGAGTTCTTAAGGGTTGTATTCTGAGAACTGATCCAGATCCATCGTCAAACTCTATTACCTATTAGAGGAAACAATAGCTGTCACAGGTGTTGTTACAATTGTCTACCTCTCAGCTAAACCTCTCAATACAGTGGTGAATCAGCCAATAGGCTCAGAATAAACTCAGCATCATTCTAAAACTGAATTTTGATATAGTGATGGAACAGAATAGTTGGCCTAATGAATGGTCTACTGAAAAAAGAGAAAGACATGAAACTACATATGCAAAAATGTAGATGTCTACCTTCTACTAAAAACCACCCAGCATTTACTCACAAAAATATTCCCGTATGTACATACTGGGCAATTTGATCCCATTAATTTTGCAAGAGACTTGCAGCTATGATGGATAAACTTCAAATTATTCTTTCTCTGACAGCACACGTGCACATGTGGATCCATTCAATAATTGGACTGTGAGGTGAAGATTAATACATGCCACCATAGATAGTTCTGCTGGCTTAAAGTGTCTCATCCTGAGCAGTATAGATGAGCAAACCATGAAGAGAAACTGCATAAATCTAGTACTTAGGCAGCCAACGAGATGGCATTCACAACCCAAAAGTCTGATGGCGTGCATTAATTTTGCCATAAATCATTCCAGTATTTGTTCTAGCTTAGCATTTTCTGCATTTTTAGAGCATTCTTGCTATAAAATGGAGGCTTGCTTTGCCAGGCAGAAAATTAATGTTCTAAACACTAAGCCTGAATTCACCATCATTATGAACTCTTCTCTGAAACAGTTTAACAACGCTAATAATCATAGGCACTTGTCGGCTAATTTAAGTACTACTTTTTGTTAAAAAAAAAAAAAAAGATGATAATGATGATGATGATGATACTCATAAATATGTATACAAAGCTGTATAGTCCTCTACCTGTCCTTTGTATAACTATGCTGCATTTCTTCAGCTACTCACTGAGAGGATGTGCTTTTTTTTTCTTGCACTTCCCTGTGAATAATATTTCCATGTGCCTAAATTGTGAATAAATTGAGAATGCCTTATAAATACATTTATGAAATGATTAATCCTATATTTTTTGTGTATGTTAACATATAGAGGAAGGAGACTGAATATTTTAAAAATATATTCGCTTCAAATCCTTTGTGCATTCCATTTTTGTTCAAAATTTACAAAGAAATCACAAATGTCCCATTTCTCAACGCATCACAATTCATTTTTAACTCTAATAAATATACATTTTAAAATGAATCTACTATGCATCTTATAAGAGAAAAGTAGCATAGTTACTGGGATCTTTGTCAATTGTTCCCTTATTTTTTTAAAGAAAATTATTTATGGGCATCGTATGTTTTAATGTAGAGAAAGGTTTAAGCATCTTTAATACCAACTTAAATTTTTATTATTATTAAATGTCCTTGTATGTTTATACTTCTGAACTATTTCCTAGATTTAGACCTGTTCTCTTGCAACAAATAATATA